ACCATAATCAGAAAGGATTCCGCCTCGATGTGTTCCCCGTAATGGCCGTCTTTCGGCCGCAAACGGATACAATAAAGTGGATATTAATAATACATATACCGCATTAATAATGTCCTTTTTTCTCACCTCGTATACTCGCTTTCTCTCTCTCTCTTTCTCTCTCTCATTCTGTCGATGCCGACTTTTTTATTATCCTCCCGTTGATGTCTTCATTTGCGGTCGCGCGCGCGCGCGAACCGTTTCGTCCACCGCGCGCGACAAACAAAAAGCAACGAAACGCGCAAGAATTTTCTCTCGACGCGAATTGATTTACGGTCGCGCGCGCGGTCGTGAATCGTAAAACCAGAAATATAACGGACGATTACAAAAATCAAGAGGCTTTAATAACGGCGCTTTTGTTACCTCATCTCGTCGATTACTCCGGCGCCTTGTTACGTTTCCCCCGCGCGAACGGGCCGCGCGCTACCGCGCTCTCGTCTTCGCGTTCGTTTCCACTCTCGTAAAAAACAATCAAGCGGAACCATAGTAAACCTTGATTGTAACTGATGAGGGATAGAAAATCGACCGGGTACCATTTCGAGGCTCGACTCGCGATGCGAAAGGCAAAAACCGATTAGGTTCACCATCGCGAGATTACGCGTCACGATTTCTCTCGTTTCTTGATGTTTCGCTTTGAAAGTCTTCACGCACAAATTCTTCCCGAAAGAGAAAATTACCTTTCAATTCGTGCTTTCAATGAAAAAAAAAATAATAATAATTCAACCACGGGTCTTCGATAAATCGCGTGTGTGGATCGCGGAGAGAACTTCGTATTTTATTTAAATGCACGTTGGAAAATAATTGTCTGAAATTTCAACAGAACCCGTTGTTGTTCCGGGCTACCGGGTGTCAATTACGAGTGCGCCGCGAGTGTGTTCTCGCGCTCAATATTTTGTATTCGTCACTCGACGGCGTATATAATTCCCGACCGCAGAGTGGAAATTCCACGTGCGCCACGCGCACGCGCGTACATACGTGTATTCCTTCAAACACGTCGGATAATCGTCTCGTGGCGAGAATCAACTTGCGGTGTGGATCGTCGTTTCCCCAATTCGTTAATTATCTCGCTCAGCTACCTGATCGGTATTGCGAGTTCGACCGCAACTTCGCGCGGGTTTCGATGGGTCCGCGGTCAAGCGAATTGGATACAATCTCGCGCACGATATATACATACGTATGTAACTTTTGATCCTTTCGTCGGTAAATTTGTAATACCACTTGCGATATATGTAACGCCTTTAAGTTAGCGTGTAATTCGTTATTCATACGATATTTAACGCAATAGTGTTTTGTTCGAGCACTTGTAACACTGTAAGTAACCATATGTATACGGGTATATTGATAATTAGATGTTAATACGGAGATCTCATATTAATTTCCTCCACCTTTCGACGTACAAATCAATGGTGTTCGCTTGCGTTAAGAAAAACGTAAAATTATCTTTATTTAAAAATTACTACAAAGCGTAACTAAGACAAAAAAAAACCGCGGTCAGTTCTAATTACACAGTCGCAATTTTAACCGGTAATTAGTAAGCAAATTAGTAATAATGCGGGTTATTAAGTCCTCCACCAACCAGCGATAGCACCTAATTATGAATATACAAGTAACGCCGTTATAGGAAAGAGATATTTGCTCGTGGCAATTTATCCTACTTATCAAACCATCAACAAAACAGAACTGCTCATTAAGTACTCATATGCGCCGACGGCAATTAAAATCTTTCACATTTACAACTCCCGGAAATGCGTAGAGCGAGAACGTGCCGGATTATCTCTCTTGGGAGAACCGAAAGCGTGCGTGTATTCTCTTGCGCTGTGTTGTTTTAAATCCAAGAAAGGCCATATATAACTTACGTTATACAGGATGTTTGGAACTCTTTGACAAAGCCGAAAGGTAGATTAGATTGAGTGTGAACCGAAAAATCATGTTGCAAAGTTTGCAATATTTATCAATTTATTAATTGTGTACAACATGTCACTAATTTATTACACGAAAAAAAAAAATCATCTAACGATTAGTTCAGACAAGTATAATATCAGGGACGAGCAATCTTGACAATCGCGACTTTTACGTCGCTATTTTGAGCGTGAAAATTGTCGAGGAGACAACGAGAGCTTTCGGGGTTGGTTGACGCATAATATTGAAGCGATGTCGGGCCACTATTAGCCAGGTTTTATTGGTACACGAGGCAGCCGTGTGCCGGCTGACCTACGACCGCCAACAGTTAATCAATGCTTTTATGAGCATTCGCTTGGCAGTACACCATCGTTTCAAGCCGCGGGCCCGTCCAGCGAAACCCACCACCCACCTACCCACCCGACCAACCAACCACCATCTATCTAGCCACCCAACGAGCGCGACACGCTTTCCCCCTTCCTCATCCCCTCCCTCCCCACCCCCTTTCACTCTCTTTTCCTCTTTGCTGCACGTGTTTATGTATATTGCTTTTTAACACGTACACTATACCGTATGCAAAAGTGATAAATTTGTGTTAACAACAACTACGACAAAATGGTATAACGAACATGAAAGAGACAAAACCTATAATTTGTTGCATTCTTGTTCGAGTCTCGTGTCCTTGAACGCGTAGTCATATCCGAAATTTATTGAGCGCCACGAGCGCGCGGCTATTTGGTTGAACAACCGAACCGATTACACACCCGTCGATGAATCGAGTTCATTCCTCCATCATGAACACACGCGCGAGCGCGGTCGCGTGTGATATATGTTATATTTCGAGTGCTTGAGGAAAAGTCGAAAATTTATTAACAGTAAATTCGGTCATATTCGAGCTAATGCTCGTCATACCCGCCCATATGCCCAAACCGACCGGATAATTGACTTAGTTCGCGCGCTAATAAACAATTCGATATGCATTAGGTCATGTAATATAAATTGCGCCGGGTCAATTTGATTAATGATACCTCCGCGATCGATGCATTAAACGATTAGGACAGAATTCCGTTAGCTTCTTTGGTTTCTATAAATTATAGACTTTAATGGTTGTCTTATAAATACGTCGTTAACAAAATAAAAACAAAACAGACGAAAAACAAAACGTAAGAGTAGGTACGGAACCGCGCATCGACGCACGCGCATCGACGCAACTGCGCAATGTTGTTCTATTATATAGAGTTGGTAACTTCTCGTGAGAGAGAGAAAGAGAGACCTTCACCTTTGCCTCGTTTTTCCCTGCGCTTCACACCTATATTTATTCTTCTCGCCGGTTTTAATTTTGCAGAAATAATGTAGATTCATATCGGGCAATGGTTCCCGCGCGCGTATATACAGGAGTACATTCACATAAGTGTCACGTGAAACACCTATTATGAGTCGCGCTTCTAAATGCACATGTCTCGCTGTTGCAATCGAATACGCTTCTCTCTTCTCTCTCTCTCTCTCTCTTTCTTTCTCTCTTTATTTTCTCGCTTGATTGAATTTATTAATTGCGCTACGGAAAGTGCCGCGTTCAGCGAGCAAATTTACAAAACAAAAAAACACACCCACGTCTCTCGCTTTTCCGAGATATTTTATCCCTCCGCGCGTCTTGTTTCTTATCGTTCCGATTTCACGATTTATCGGAGCCGTTTAATTTTGTCGCCGTATGGCGATTACATATTTTAGGCGAACACAGATGAAGCGCAGCCGGAGGGTACCGGGAGAGAAGCGAGCGATGGACGGGGAGGGGAGGGATCGGGTTCGAATCGTAAAACAATTATACAATTACCGCACGGCCGTAATTAATTGCTGGCCGTTTCAACGTTTACCCCGACGATCGTGTGCGCGCGCGCGCCCGCGCGAGCGCGCGAGAGAGCGAGCGCGCGGCTGGCTGCGGACCCGCGCGAATGCCGCGGCATTAATTCATTAACGTTGCACCGTGAAACGTATTTGCCCGTAAAATTGGTCGGCCGGCGCGTTCGCGATTATTTGCTTAAACAATTTCCGAACGTCGATCGACGCCGCCGCCGTATGACGTGATTTAACGATTTCCTTCTCTCGACATTGACGGCAATAACGGTCTCTCTATATGTTTCTCTCTCGCTCTCTCTCCATCCTCTGTGTGTGTGTGTGTGTATGTGTGTGCGCGCGCGCGCGCGTCCCCCGATGATAATATATCTGTGAAATAAGCGCATCCCAACGGACACCCTTCAAAGCGCTATCGAGGAGCACAAAGAGTCCGCGCAAATAAACCAATGAATATTGTATGCGCATTTATCGATCTTTCTCTCTCCGGATGTTTCTAGCTGGAGTAATAAATACCCGCGTGCAAGGACGCGAGAAGTCGGGAAATATATACACGACAATATTATTAATCGTGTTATTATGTTATTACAGGAAATATCATTAATAATTAATGCCGAAAATATCGATTATTAATAATTTATTAGGCGCGCCGCGGTGTGCGAGCGATGTGACGCACATGCACGGTCACGATTGCGGGAGTAAAATCGAGAAATCTAAAACGGACGGGGGTGGTAGTATCTTCCCTCCTGAATATATATCACCGGCACACTGAGGTGAAGACACAGCGACTGCACCATTTACGTAAAGGGACGCGTATACGATACAACATCCCGGGTATCGGTGACCGCAGGCCGCAACACGACGGTGCAGTCGCAGTTAATTTGCTCACTCCAAGTGTGTTTGATTCCCCTAATTAATTGATCGGTAGGGTGACCGTGTGCCAGAGCGCATATACGGATGGCAGTAATCAAACGCGTGGCCTCCGCAGTACGCACGTACATTTCAACGTATGTGGCTCTATTATCGGCGTAACCGCGCTCTCTCGATCTTGGGCATCAAGTTCGAGAAATCTTGGCTCGAGAAACCGTCCCGATTCGAAATATTCGCCGTTGTATTTTACGGATTAAATTGCAAATGAATATAACAAAGACGTTCTTAGATTATTTTTATAGCGGTTTTTCATCGTTTATTAATACGTTCTTGCGGAAACTTACCGAGATGTCCGTTCTCGTAATAGTCGCCGTTGTCCATCCTGTGCTTTTTCAGAGAGTGCTGCGGATGATGGCCAGCCGCCGCGGCTAGGTGGCTGGCCGCGAGGCTCAGCCCAACGGAAGCTCGCTTTGGGGGTCTTCCTGGCCTGGAGCTGTACAGTGAGAGAGAGTTACTGTGGTTAGAGACACCTGTCATCGAGGTAATGTCTTACCCCGATCGTCGTGGTCGCGATATTGATCTGCGACCAATTATCTGCTGAAAAAGTTTAAGAGGAAATATCAGCCCTCAAAACACGTAAATTTGTTTTTTTTTATTCGCGCTAGTTTATTTTTTGATAAATTAAACTCGATGTAAAACAACAACTGACTGGTGGCATTACACACCACGCGAATCGTATTGCCGATCGATAATTTTAACGAGTTGCGGAGTCAAAGTCGCGCGCAGCTCGACACACGCGTAATAAGAGCACAGAAAACGACACGGATTTCGCTGATTTTTCCTCTGAAGAATGTAAATGTAAAAATTATTTTTAAGATTTACATACATCACGCATTTAGTTTAACATCATAACTTAATAAGGACATTGATAAAGACCACGTGTCTTCGCACAACCAATTGTGTTTACACCTCCTTCATATTGTGGCCTCGTTCATTCATTCATTTATTTATAAATGTGAAAGTCACGTTTGCAACGCCCCGAGTGCATGTTCAAATCCAGATTTCGAGATCACTCGAGATGAAGAGAATCTCAGAAGAAGCCGCGCCGCTCGGAACGCCAGGCTCGCTGGACCGAGGAAGGAGCAATTTGAAAATCTTAATGGTTAATCTACGGAGATCGTGCGAACGTTTTGAGAGCGAAGTCTTACGTGACTAAGGGAAAAAACTGAGAATAAGAATTCCAAAGAACACGTGGCTTTTACTCACGTGCTTGTTGCGTCGAACGCTAGTTGTAAACACACACGTAAAGCTTGAGATAAAATTCGTGCGGGGATTTACTTGAAAAAAAGTCAAAGATTTTACATGTCTCTTTTTATAAAAATATCTACGCACATGTCTTATAAAGTTTCTTTTACTAAAAAAAACGCGCAATAATATAAATACTTGTGAAACTCATCCAATGTTGTTTATAACATTGTTTAAAAACTCGCTCTATGGTTTTTTCAATCATTAAAATCGCGCCTGGTTTCGAGTAGTCGGCGACTTTCCTTTGATAATCGTCATTGGCACCTTTCGGGCGTTTTCGACAGCGAGGGGTAGACGAAAAAAAGACCTCCGTTGAAACAATCTGTACGATAGTGACGATGATACTTTGATGCGCTCGAAAAGGAGGTTCATTTTTCATAGGCAGGCGCCAGAGAGGCGTTCACACACACACACATACACACATATTCACACATGTGTGTATCCGCGACACACGATGCAGCGCTTCAGCCTTTTGCTTCAGAAGCGAGGAAATATCCGGGATTTGTTATCTTTCTTTACTTTCGATATATGTGCCACCTCTAACAGAGTCCGTGAGTGTTCTCAATCTTTTCGCGCTCACAAAATATACACGTTTCGAAATAATTAAGAAGCCACATTTTTTCACTCGATTACTTTCTCCAATTCTCACGAGAATAATTAAAGCGCGTTAGCGCACAAAGCGTCGTTTTTTTTTTCATTTTACACGGTTTATGATCCATCGATTGAATAAATTCATTTGGAGAAAATAACGAGAGACACACACGGAGGCTGAGCACCGTTACCTGGTAAGCGAGCAATCTCATAGTAGTCAAGGCAGATTTGTAAATCTAATTTTTCATCCCATCTTTCTCTATGTGTGCCTCTGTACGTGTGTGTGTGTGTGTGTATGTGTGTGTGTATGCCTGCGCTCTCACTTTGCCTCTTCATTGCCCAGAGTCTTTCTCATTTCCACATCGGTCTCTCCGCATCTTTCTCGCGGCCGCTTTCCTCTCTCTCTCTTTCTCTCTCTCTCTCTCTCTCTCTCTCTCTCTTTTATCTTTGTCCCTCCGACATTCTTTTTCGCCTTGCTACTTGTCTCTCGTTCTATCCCTTTTTCTCCGCCGCCTCTCACGGGATCCCCAGACGATTCTCAGACGGCCGGTTTATACCGGCGTTGATCTCTTAAACCGCTTAGCTTCGGGTTACACCGAAAACACGAGCGCAGCTTTCTGAACGCTTAGACTCCGCATAATGCGCACTTGTTTACGTATACAGCGCGATCAGCGAAATATAAGAAAAGATGCCGACTCTCTAACGTGCTGGCTAATTTTTAGCGCGCTATATAATAGTTTCAAACGTTATACATCTCTCAAATTGTACTACTGCAAGATTCTCAACCTCCTGCCAAGCGATTAGTAAAAATTAATCAATTATTTATTTCATTTCACAATTGTCACCGCGACTGTCTCTTTTTTTTTTTTTTCAAACAAGACTTCACCGGCTACAACCGAGTCAGATATTTACGTAACATCGCCTGCGATATTACGTGAATATCGTGACGAAACAATGACGGGAGGAAAAAAAAACGGAACGGGCGTGGACCACGGGTGCATTGGCCAAGAGATCAAGAGATCGCTAATAATCGCGCGTTGCGCCAGCGACGCGTTCGCCGCCGCACTACCGTTTGTTAGATTTTTTTTGTATATTTGGAGGATACCTCGTACTTTTTTGTCTCTCCTTCCCGTGGCGAACGATAATCAATTGCACAACGCGTGTTTGCATTGCAAACAACAAATGTTTCATCGCACAGCTGATTCGCATTACAATTTATGTGATCAGACAAATGAGAAAAAAAATCGAGCACGTGAAGAAGAGAAACTTGGCGAAATATTTTTTTTCGCGGTCGAAACAGCTTGTCCGGAGATCGCAAGTTCAATTATCGATAAAGTGAATTAAATTTAAATATTTGTCGTCAGCAGACGGTTTCAGATAATTACACGGGTTGAGATCTCCCACCTTATTGGATAACGTTTGCAAACGCGAGGATCCGGACAATCGGTAATACGCGACCGTATTTACGACTTGCGTGGTGTATCGCGCAAATTACACGTATGTATACGTACGAGGTATAAGTCGGCAATTAGCGGGCTCTAATCATCAACAAACGATCGAAGAACTCGGACGGCACTCGAAGCGATGCGCTCGGTCCGACAGCTTGTGTCGCGTGATTTATACACACGGACAGAAATGAGACAGACATCCGCACCGCGCACTCATTTCACAAACGAGTCGCATCGAGTTATAGTTTCTTGAGCGGTCGAAACGGTTAGACGGCTGGAAATTATCGCTCGAACGATCGTTTTGTACGTTATTCGGCGCGCGGTGCGATCGATCGATTAGATTCGACCGCACAAACACACACGCACGCACACTTGTATATTATTGTACTTGGCCGGGTTCTCATTCGGGAATTGCGTGTGGGCATTAAGAGTTGCCGATGATCGGGCCAGGTGCTATGGGCCCGCGATCCCGATCGTTCCCCGCCTTAATGATCGTTGCAGTTCCGAACCAGATCGTTCCCGGGAAAAAGATGGATGGATCGACGGCGCGCTCGCTGCGAGAAGGAAGGTGGAATCGGAGAAACGCGTGAAAAAAGACAAAATACGTGCCGAGAGGAAAGAAAGAAAGAAAGAAAGAAAAAAAAAGAGAAAGAGATGATCGCGCGACTCGCGCGGTGAATTACACGGTTTTCGTAAGCGATTGGGCGTTTAACGATCTATCGAAACTCTCGTCTTTCAACTGGTTCCCTCGTCTGTGTACCGCGTGTAGGTATCCGGTGCAGTCACGCCGCGTATAAAAATCGGTAAGAAAAAAACTCGACGCGCAAGATAACACACACAGCGAGCCGATCGAATCGAATCGATCGCATCGAATTCACATCAGTTCGAATTCGCTGGAAAAGCATTCCATTTCGTGAATCGACGCTAAGGTGCAAACGCAGGTGGAATGATTCTTCGCGTTTTTGAATAGAAGCGAGTTCAAATAAAAAAAAAAAAAAAAAAGAAAGAAAAAAACAGTAAACCGCGAAATCGAGCGGAAAAGGACTCGAAGCAACGGGACGAATTAATGAAAACGAGGAGTAGATCGAGCGCGCGTATTTGGCCGTACGTGGCGCGCTTGAGATCGCCGATCCGATATTAGTCTTAAGTAGATGAGCGCGGTGTGATTTATAGCGGATACCTTAATTGTCTTAATTATGCGGCAGCCGCTTCCGTGGAAAGCGTGGCATCCGCGTGCGCGCGCAATCGACCTCGGTGTAATTTAACGTGACCGTTTTCTCGCGCGCGATATCTACCTATCGCGCGCCGTGAGCTTCGCTCCGCGCAGCTCATCACGATAAACTCTAATAATTTTCCGTTATAATCGATACGTCAGAAATTCCCCGCTTTTTTCACCCGCGTCCGAAATCGATTTCCTTCGTGCGCACGAGGCGCGCATAAACGAAGCGGATATATGAATCAATTTTCTCGCAGAGCGATTGCGCGTCTGATATAATTCAACGGTGATTCTTATTTTATGGTCAAAGAGCGCTCAGATCAAATCGGGCGGGAACAATAGCAATAGTTACTTGACTTGACCGCGAGCGACCGTGAGAGTGTGAACGCAAACTTTACTCGATAAAAATCTTCAACGCCGGAGAAACCAATTCTGCAAACGAAACCATCCACGTAAGATACGCATATTCGGCGACGATTCAACGCAAAGTGTACAATTAGAAAATTGCCCGTGTCCTACAATTATTATTGATCAAGTTGACGTGCGACACAACAAACGAGTCCCGTTTGATTGGCGGAGTAATTACCTACTTTTCTCGGCGTTAAAAAAGCGAGATATTGCTTTAAAAAAAAAAAAAAAAAATTCCGTGCGATATTTCTTACATATTGCGTATATTTCCGCTTGTTACAGTGGGGAGGGGGAGGTACGAATAGTGATTACATTGTAACGCAAATATTTGCCATTCGTGTTTCGAGGCGATTGCACGATAGAAGAGAAGACGCGACGGCGAAGGAGAGAGAGCGAGAAGATTCGAGAGCGCGGTGCGTGATGTGTTCTGTCAGTATGACATCGCGTGCATACCACATTGACCCTACCTGTGTAAGCTACACATTAAATCGGTATATATCACGCATACAATTTCTTACACAGTCT